TTGTTCTGTTCTGTCCAGTTTTATCTTATCGAACGTTGAACAATTGTTCTATCTTGTCTAGTCTGGACACCAAACACACCTTAAGGGACGAATTGCCTAACATTCCAATTGAGCAGGATTTCAGAACTCCACCTACAGTTCATCCTAGGGGTGTTCCAAAAAACCGTTGGACCGTTCAAACCGACCGAACCAAGTCAAATCGGACCGTTTTTGGTGGTTTGAGCGGTCTGGCGGTCCGGTCTGGTTTGGAAAATAGCAAAATCGGGCGGTCCGGTCTACGGTTTGGAACATTTTTTTGGGCGGTTTGGACAAAACCGACCGCCAAATACATACATATATATATATATATATATATATATTTTAATATTAACAAGCCCAACTTTTTTAACTTATTGACTATGACCCAAATATATCCCTAAGCTTGACATATAACATAATCAAAATCGACGACTAAAACCATTAACCCATTGAACATATCGAATCATTTGATATTGACGGTCTCCAAATTTTGAAATCCCTCAAGAATTCTATCAATCTATTGATCTTTTTAATCCATGGTTTGATTTCGGCGCACATCATCAAGACATCAACCAAGTGATTCAACCAACTTAGATTTGACTTATATTTTGTTTGGTTAAGAACTCAAGACTCAAGAATTGAACCATTGAAGGTTGTGAAGTTGTGGATTTTGTTACTCAATACTCACAGTAGAGTTGCAACTTTGTTAATTTGTTTGTTTCTAATATGTTATAAATTTATTTGTTTGTACTTTGGATTGCTTCGACTTTGTACTCAAGAGCTGCTTAATTATTACACTTATTTGTTTAGATATTTTGTTTTGTTAAAATGGATATTTAATCTTAAATTCTAAATTATATATGTTTTTTAAGTTTAATATTTAAAGTCCATTAAATGCCCAAACCGCCTAAACCGGTCAGACTAGACCGTCTTTTCGTGGTTTGGTTTGACCGGTCTGAGCACTTAATATCAAACCGCTCGGTTTAAAAATTTTATAAACCGTCATTACGGGTTGGTTTGTGGTTTGAGGAGTTAAACCGTCCAAATCGGACTGCGAACACCCCTAGTTCACCCTCCTATGACAAGATGGACGAAAGACCATCCCTCACACCAAAATTATTAGTAATCCTTCACGAGGTGTCAAAACAAGAGCTGCCACTACAAATTAATGTTTATTCTTAAACTTTCTAAGTATGGTAGAGCCAAAGAAAATCCACAAAGCACTACAAGACCCAAACTGAGTCGATGCCATTCAAAAAGAGCTTCTACGGTTCGAAAGAAATAAGATATGGACTAGTAACTACAAAAAAAAAAAAAAAATGCAATTTACTCTTAAAATATAAAATATATCATTATTTTAATTAAAGATAATAGAATCAAAGGTGGATCACGAAAAAGGAAAACGACACCCTCAAACTATTTTCAAAATACCAAAACTATCCCTCTCCTTTCTCCTTCCCCAGCTCGATCTGGTCGTTTCTTCCATCTGCGATTCTCACTGGATTAGGTTCACTTCTGTCTCTCTCATCTCTGTCTCTCTCTCTCTCACACACACACACACACTCTCTCTCTCTCTCTCTCACATACACAGTCTTATCTGTTTCGTATATTGTATTGAATTCGTCTGTTTATCTTACCAGAAATCAAGAATCAGTACCTCGCCTTGCTCATCAACAAATCCAGGTTCCTCTCTCACTACAAATCTCTCTAACACTCGCGACTTCATCATTTCCTTTAATTGTTTGCATATTCATAGTAAAACGATTATACCCAACATCACAATTAGATTAGGGGACGAAAACCCATCAGTTTAATCAACCAAAAGAAAGTAGTTTTTTGTTATATTTATTGCTAAATTCATGTGCTATGTTCTTGGGATTTTAAGCCTGTTTAACTTGATTTTTAATTTATTCTATAGAGTGAAATAGTAGTGCGTTCAATAGATGTTGTTCTACCGTTTTTGGGGTTTACTGGAGTGCTCTGTTTTTATGGTGAATTATGCTTATATTTTATGAACATGTCTTAGTTTTTGTTTGAGTTCATAATTAGCATCAATTTCGATGTCTTAAGCATCTATGTGATCGAAAAAATTAATGAAGCTAAATGTTTAGTTGTAGATTCATTGTTATGCTTCAAATTGATTTATCGTAGTCATATTATTATGAGGGATTTTGACTTCTCCATACACATTAAGAATAAAGACTTAACATACAAACATTCCTAGTTCAAATTTAATTTCAAGAAATTCATGATATTTGCTTGGACCTTAACCTTTAACATTCTCAGTTTGATGTGGTGATGGGACCTATTCACTTAATTGGAGGGGAATCGAGATAGACCCACAAAATGGCAAATGGCTAGCATGTATTCTAGCTCTGTTTTTGGCCCACTACTATGAAAAAATGCACTGGGATAATTATTAGGTCATCAAACTTTGATGTTATTATGATTTTTCCCAGAAAATATGTATCAATATTACATGCGACACTGTATGTTAATGTGTTCTTATGCTTCCATTTTGCGGAGTTCTTTTTTGTGCAGAGATGACATTCACATGATGTTGAAAGAAAATGTAAAGTATAGGAGAATGCATACGTATGATACTGGAATAATCTAGGTAATTGATCAATCATGCTTATGTTTATAGAGAAATAGTTAATATTTGCTTATCTTTCTATATATATGTTAGTTCTTTGGATGGTGACTAAAATTATTAATTATTTGTGTACCTACTACTTGTGAGAAAGTTTTGTTTGATTACTTGATTGTTTATTTGTTGTGACATGCATCAGCCATTAGAGTATGGTTGACTTTAAATTTAGGAACACAAGTTTCATTCTGGTCAACCTTTGTTACCACATGATCCTTCTTCTATTGTAACAGGCAGGTTCCTGTCGATGCCGATGGAGCCAGGATCTGGCACCTTAACTTCTCGAAACCCTTCGCAGGTTATAACTCCATCTCCTACAAGTTTATTTTTTGGTCGCAGATGTCTACTTTTCTTAATATGGAATTCAAATCCGATGGATGGGTTGTTACCAGTTGGCTATTGGACTATTAGTTTGTAACTCAGTCTACTCTCATGCCTTTTTGAGGATGAATGAATTCTGTTTCGAGCTTCAAAAGTGATAAGAAATGTGTTTGGATAGAATCTTACTTAACAATTGTGTTGTTGAATTCTTCGGAAGTTGCTGAACTATTTTTGTGTCTAATAGTACATGGAAGATTTCATACGTGTTGTATCTGCCTTGTGTATGCAATATTATGTTTTATGTTTGTAAAAAACAACTATTTGGAAAGCAAATCTGCAATATAATGAAATTGTGCGTGTTATGCGATAGATCGTGGTCAACAACCCTACTTCCTCATCACCCACATGCAATAGCAAAAGGAAAAGAACCCTGAAGGTGTATGTTTAATCACAATGAGATTATATCGGTACTTTTGGATAACCAAGCAATAACGAACACACATACTTAACACAAAGAATTATGTGGTTCAACCAATATATGGGTTTTCAATATATTAGGAAAACAATACAAAAGAGAGAATACAAGAAAAAATTCATTTTCTCACCTAAAGTGTGAAGTAAAAGTCCAATATAGATGTAATACTGACATAAATAGATAAAAATATCAATCGTATTCGTATAAGGACAAAGAATTTCTAGATATCTGTCTAGCAAAAATATCGTTGCTTCTGTGGGAGCTTCGCCACCCAATTGATGGGAGGGTCTCAGCTGTAGGACTACAGGACTTCTTATTTGGATTAGGATGCAAGGCATCTCGACAATAATAGATGTGAAACATGTGATAGTTTTACAAGTACAAAATGTGTTAATTGTTAGGGCTAATGGTGGACCACATGTATGAGATGGGTATTTACATTTTACAAAGAAAACACTCGTAAGTTACCGTGGCTGAAGTTGTCTACGGTTTTGGTCATAGTGCTGAGTTGTTTAAGTATAGCATACTGCCATTTTTAGTGTTTCATTAGACTTTTACGTAGACACTGAATTTCTGCTGCTGCAGATTCATTTAGGTCCTATTTATATACTCCTTCCATCCCATGAGAATTGCAACGTTTGACCTGCCAGATAGTTTATAACTGTTAGCTATGTTTTGTCCCTTTATTTACATATGTGTTCTTCATAGTTTAATTTAGGCAATTATATTTTTTCTATTTCTCCCTGTTATAATTTTCAAGACTTTCACTTCTTCAATCAATATACCGTGAAAGCATTCTCCATGATGATCTTCTTCATTACATTGCTAATGTGGTATGAGAGTCGGGGTCTAGCAACACCTAGGGACTCATCACACTCTTTTGCCTCTGTCCTACGGGGCACCGGCTAGCCTCCATTGGAGGGGGCGTGTTGGAGTCGCACATTAGCAAGATACGGGTCATCAAACTTGTATATATGTAGGAACTTCACATCTCTCTATAAGGGCTCTTTTAAAGAGAATTCAAAGGGGTTATATACATATATATATATATATATATCCTAACATTGTACCAGATCGGGGATCTTTACTGAGGCCCTTCTTCCAGGATTTTTCTTGAGCCTCGTTCACAAACTCGAGTTGGTTTCTCATGATCCACCTTGATTTTGAGTGGGGTGTTAGCTATGTTTGTCCCTCTATGTACGTCTGTTGAGGGTTCTATTCTGTATTTATATAGTTTAGTTTAGGCAGTTATATCTTTTGTGTTTCTCCTTTGTATAGTTTTTCACGACTTCCACTTCTTCAATCTATATACTGTGAAAGCATTCTCCATGATCATCATCTTCATCTAATTGATTAAAGCTAATAAAAAGAAATGTATGACTATCTAACAAATATTGACAAATGGAGGACTGTTGTGGATCCAAATAAATATTTATTGATGATAATATCCAAGTAATTTAGATTCAAAGGTTACCATAAAAGGAAATGTTGCAATTTTTTACTTTCCATGGGATAGAGGGAGTATATAGATGTAGACATTTAAGAGCTAAATAGAATAGACTGAATATAAGGACTCATATAGTTTGTGGGCTCTCTTCTTCAGTAGGCAATTTCACACTCATCCCGATTTGTACAAATATTTAGCATTCAGCATAACTTCTCGTATCTTTAAATAATTCATTTTTTTAAAGTTTCTTCTTTAAAGTTGACAGTTTGACAAACTTTTTTTCTTGGGGTTGCAGTTTTTCTTGAATCTATCACGGAATTTATTGTTGGCATATCAAAGCTTCGGTGTGGTATATGGAGACTTGAGCACTTCACCTCTTTATGTCTATAGAAGTGTGTTTGTCGGCAATTTGCCGGATCATCAAACTCCAGAAGTTATATTTGGGGCATTTTCGTTGATATTTTGGACGTTAACTCTAATCCCTTTGCTAAAATATGTGTTTATCGTATTGAGTGCCGATGATAATGGTGAAGGTGGGCCAAAATGGAGTCTCACACTTGTAAATTACATGCTGAGTTCTGATTGTACTGCATATAATGTGATGAATACTACCCTTTTCAGGTGGAACCATTGCTCTTTACTCACTACTCTGCAGGCATGCTAAGTTCAGTTTACTTCCGAATCAACAAGCAGCTGATGAGGAGTTGTCATCTTATAAATATGGTCCTTCACGGCCTCCGTCACCTTCACCACTGAAGAGGTTTTTGGAGAAACATAAAAAATTACGCACATCTCTACTTATTGTTGTATTATTAGGAGCGGCCATGGTTATCGGTGATGGTGTGATTACTCCTGCAATTTCTGGTGAGTGCTATTTGGGACTGAAGGAGTTTTACTGGATGGTAATTTTGAAGCAACAATCTATTATGAGTCTAGGTTCTATCCCATGTTAAGCTCAACTATTAACATCTTTAGATGTCTTTATCAGGAGCTTATACCCTCCATGTCCCAAAATAATTGCAACTTTTGATCACACAAATGGTTCTAAAAGGTTTTTGATTATTAGTCAAATATCCAAAATACACCGAAATGATGACAAAGTAAACAAGTAGCTCCTGGACCAGAATCCATCAATATTTTGTGGTAACTACTAATGGGCAAATAGCAATCAATTATCGAAACTTTTTTGAGCAAGGAAATTTTGCATTTATTTTATGACATCTCAAAAAGGAAATTATCACATTTATTATGGGACAAAGGAAGTTATATATATATATATATGTATATATATATATATATGTATGTATATATATGTATGTATGTATGTATATATATGTATGTATGTATGGTGTTGTTGTGATGAGTCCTTGAACAATATTCATTCGTTACCAAGGTGAAAAGAGGTTTGACGTGATGGTGAAAAATCCCTATTGCAGTTATGTCGGCAGTATCAGGACTTCAAGTTCAAGGTGTGGGAGTAGAGCTAACTCATGGTAACTTAAGTTTTCTCTCATCTTTTTAGTTAAAAACTTTCCGTTGTAATTGTAATAGAAAAGTCTACACGTCCCCCCTTGCGTGGGGCGGTGCATGCACGGGCAGACCACATATTATAAATAAATATTTGACTAATACGATCAAATTTTGTCAAGAGCATAAACATTGCAATCTCATTGGGTATAAATGAAAAATGTAGCAACTTTTTGTATTGATTTTGTCTCTTTTTCTTACATTTTGGTTTTTTGATTCTCTTTTGTAGGGGGAGTTCTATTATTGGCATGTGTGATATTGATTGGCTTGTTTGCTTTGCAACACACCGGTACTCAACGGGTGGCAGTTGTCTTTGCTCCTATTGTTATTTTATGGTTGATTTCAATATTTGCTATTGGGTTATATAATATCTTACATTGGAACCCAAAGATTGTATATGCATTATCTCCACATTATATAATCACATTCTTTAGACAGACCGGCGGAGATGGTTGGCTGTCACTCGGGGGTGTTCTTCTCTCCATAACAGGTATTTGAATCCCAATATTCATCATGATCTTGTGTTCAAATTTGAGATTTTAGGTGAACTAGATTTTCATTTCTCCAGTTGGGACTTAATTTAACGGGAAAAATGACATCAGAATGGAATAGAGTTTGGTTTAATTCTTTTTAGTGTAACTAATTTCTTTTTCTCGATCAATGTAATAAATTTTCAATCTTCAATAATTTTGTACTTGTACCTTTGTGAATGTAAAAATTGATATTAAAAATCTTGGGTTTTGAACCCAAAAAATAATAGAACTAAAATCTGATTTGGTGAGCCATATGTTCAGTTCTACAATATAATTGACAACTTGACATCCACGTCATGGCATGCTATATGTTATCGGTCAAAATGGTATAAAATAAGATTGAAGGATTGAAACAGATTATGTTAAACTAAACCAAACTTTGTTGCATTTTGTCCTAAACATGCATTTTTCCGTATTCTTTTTTCTGTTTCTTCCACCAACTTGGTAAACGTGACAACTTCAGGAAATTCAATTCAATATTCTTATCTCCATTTTCTCTCAGGTACTGAAGCTATGTTTGCAGATCTTGGCCACTTTACCGCCTTCTCAATAAGAGTAAGTCTACCAATGGTGCTATAAGTATTGCATGGAAAATGAATTTCGTAATCTCTATGCTAGGTTTTCACATGTCACAACATCAATAAAGGTTAGATTTTCTTACTTTCAAGTAGTAGTCTGACAGGACCTAAAATTCCCCAGACCTAATTCAGGGAATTTAGGACAATAACCTTCTAATAATTTTTTTAAAATGCATTTACTTGTGACAAATTTTAGAACACCTCTGCATAACAGAAGAATGCCTCTTCCTAACACAGAAGGGTTCAAAAGGTCATTTAAAAAAATATTTATTCTCTTCAATGACCCACGTAATTCTTAGGGTTGTTCGGTGGTGGCTTAATGGGCTGAATAGGCTGTATGGCACAAAGTGTTGTATACATTCCACCATTAACTTTTCCATCAATGCCCTTATGGAGCACTCTTGAAAACAAAACTCATAGAAAGGAAATCTTGTGAAACCCTCGAATCTTGTGGAACACTCTTGATTAAATCGTGAAACTCACTAAAAATTGGGGCAATGATTTCAACAAAATCTTCTTCTCCACTGAAAACCCATTGGAAATCTCCCGGAAACCCAAACGTCCTTCTCCACTAAAATCCCAATGGAAACCCAAATCTCTTCCAGCTATTTCAACAATGAAAGTGGTGGTGTTCCAACAACAGTTTCAACCCAAATCTAAATCTCATCGAGTGGCTTAAACATAAGAAACCTAACAATGGTTTCAACCCAAATCTCAAATAGATATAGGGGGAGGAAGGAGTTCAATGGTGTTGATATAAGAACAAGGTGAATGAGTTCAATAATTTTTTGGTGAGTTTTTTTTCCCGGGTAGGATGGAGTTCAATAGGTTTTCTTGATGATGCAACGAAGATGCCAGCATGCAACAATTTGTGTGTGTATATATACATATATATTCATAAAATAATAATAGTAATAATATATTTTTATATAACTTTTTATTTAAAAAACACATAAATTGATATAATTTTATTCATTCAAAATCATTCATTGAGCATATTTATCTAACATTTATTTTAATTGTTTTTAATATAGACTAAGGGGTAAAATAATCATTTATGCCATTTAGACTGTTTATTCAGCACAATAAGAGGACAAAAATTTAGCCTAATCATACACAACTTAATTCATATAGAGCTTAATAAAAAACCAACCGAGCAACCCCTTAGTGTCAAGTAACCCTATTTTAGTTTTTGTGTTTTATTTGTTACAAATTATGAAATTAATTTCTTTTACTTAAAATAGGATTATTTTTTACATTTTATTTTGATTTAGTTTCATATTAAGGTGTGGAAGACCATGACCAACTATGACATAGGACCAATTAGGATGCATGGGGTTGGTTAAAGCTAGAACCAGACCTGGTCCCTAGGGACATGTCGTATTGTGCATGGTAAGACTTTCACTCATCTTAAAACCAAAGAGTTGTATACAAATTGAATGCCAGGTAATTGTAAAACGATGAAAAACAAAGACCTGGAGAATCTTCTATAGCAACATCAAAGACCTGAGGAATAATCTAGTGGCCTTCCGGCGAAGGATGTTAAATCCAATCTTAGAAAGGAGCCCGTCAAGTCTCGAGTAATGTTAATATTTGATAAATAGAACGTGCTTAGGACTTCAAAACTTTTCCGAGCAAGGTTATAATTGGAGGTCAAAGGATCCGGAATGTAGGGGTGAGTCTTGGAGCACCGGAAGCTCATGGGTCTGAATTAATAAGACAATCTCTTTGCAAAATGCAAGGAAAGAACTACGTAACAAAGCTTCTTTCCCCAATCCTTGCAATGCCAAGGAGCCTTGGTGCATCTTTGTCACCCCTAACCAAGATTGATTTTAAGGTCTCTTTGTTTTCATCTTTTCATTTCAACATTCTCATCGTTTTATATGGTGTCATGGGAAGGAAATGATGATGTGATTGTGAGTCCCACTTATTTGATGTAACAATAATTGGGATGTGATCCACAAAATGGAATATAGATGTAAATAGTGAAAACAAATACTCCCTCCATGCCAAAATAAATGTCTGCAATAAAAAAACACACAGATTTAGAAATGTATAATTGTTACACTTTTAATTGATTGAACTGAATGACAATTATAACTCTCAATAAGAACAGTCTTTGAAATGTATAATCATTCTACTAATCAATTGCTCCATCTCATCAACTTTTAGATATTCATGTGTCATAATTATGGTACAACTGGAAATTTAGTAAATTGTAACTATCTATTTATGAAAGTGGACACGTATTCTGGGACAAACTTTAATGTGGACACTTATTTTGGGACAGAGGGAGTAAATTCTTAGTTTGGAATGAGCCTTCTTACTAAATGAAGGAAGACACCTATTTTTGGACCAGGATAGAACTTGGTGATATCTTCTTGTGCTAAAATTTAATTCTTCTCTATTTGCAGCTCGCATTTGCCCTTGTGGTATACCCATGTTTGGTTATACAATACATGGGCCAGGCCGCTTACTTGTCTAAAAATGTTACTTCAATTCCCGAAAGTTTCTACAAATCTATACCCGGTTAGGCCTTGCGATTTGATTCACGTATTTTTACCAATTTGGCTGCAACCTAGTTTGATTTCAATTCGTAAGCATCCTCTCTTGTCTTGCAGAACCGGTATTTTGGCCAGTGTTTGTTATAGCTACTCTAGCATCTATTGTGGGAAGTCAAGCTATCATTTCAGCTACCTTTTCTATAGTGAAGCAATGCCATGCCCTTGGTTGTTTCCCGAGGGTCAAAATTGTCCACACGTCGAAACACATGTTTGGCCAGATTTATATACCAGAAATCAACTGGATCCTCATGGTTCTTACTCTTTTGATCGCTGTTGGATTCCAGGACACTACACTAGTTGGCAATGCATATGGTAAGTAACATTAGATCTTTCTTTGTTTTGTCCAATTTGACCTTAAGACCAAACCAACTAATTCAAACGGTTTGGTTCAGTTCAAGATCCTTTTGTAAACACATATTACAAACCGAGGTCTTCACGTAAAGAATCACTCTAATCTTTGTAGAAGATAGGATTATTTGACCCTACTTCCGGTTCAAGACAATCTCTTTACAACATTAAAAGGAAAGACACTGTTTGCAAAGCCAAGGAGCTTCGAAACCAAAAACGCAGTTGTTCTCAACCCCAAAGATTTCAACACGGCTTGTGAAAAAACTGTTTGGAACTAGATTTTAGTGAAGAACCATATTATATGTCCCACTCGGAAGTAGGATCTGGGGGCTGGGATGTACACGTACATGTCCTCGACCCCACGTGAAGATCTACGGCTTGTGAAAAAGTGTTTGGAAAGAAGATTTTAGTCAATATGCCCCTCTCAGAAGTAGGATCTAGGGGGCATTTTTGGTAATTCTTGTATTTCACTCTCTTGAAGGTCTTTGTGGATAGTTCTCAAAGTTTGATTGTTTATCGGCAGGCCTTGCATGCATGACAGTTATGTCCATCACAACTTTTCTCATGGCACTTCTTATAGCATTCGTGTGGCAAAAAAACGTTTTAGTTGCTACGCTCTTCCTTGTTGTTTTTTGGATCATAGAAGGTATCTACCTCTCAGCCGCAATCATGAAAGTTCCTCAAGGAGGTTGGGTCTCTCTTTTACTTGCCTTTGTCTTTATGGTCATAATGTATGTGTGGCATTATGGTACCCGTAAAAAGTACAACCATGACCTCCACAATAAAGTTTCGTTAAAATGGCTTCTCGGGCTGGGACCCAGCTTGGGTATTGTGCGTGTTCCCGGGATTGGCCTAATTTACTCGGAACTTGCCACAGGCGTCCCTTCGATTTTCTCACATTTTGTCACGAATTTACCTGCTTTCCACAATGTTCTGGTGTTTGTGTGCGTGAAACATGTCCCGGTGCCTTATGTCTTGCCCGAAGAACGTTTTCTTATTGGCCGTATCTGCCCGAGACCTTACCGTATGTATAGGTGCATCGTTAGATTCGGGTATAAAGACATCCAAAGAGATGATGGGAACTTTGAGAATCAACTGATTCAAAGCATAGCAGAGTTCATACAGATGGAAGCTGTGGAACCTCAGTTCTCAAGCTCTGAGAACACATCGTTTGATGGTCGAATGGCGGTCATAAGCACCAGGTCAGTTTTTCTATAAAGCATTGAATTTTTTGAGTTGCGAAAGTCAAAAGGTCAAACCTAGTTTGGTCGGAATCCAAAATCGACGTGAACATTTTACCTTTTCAACTCCTTAATGTTCTTACTGTAACAGTTTGTAGAAGTTGATATAGTTTTTAAGCTCTTAACTCCAAACTCGAAATATTTCTCAAAGAAAATGGAAGTTAAAAGTCCACGTTTTGACACTAAAGTATCAAACATGGACTTACATTTTTTTAGACCGTGTACATACCCTATTTGTTTTATCTTACGTCTAGAGATGCACAAAAAAGCTTAAGCCCGAAAAGCCCTGGCCAAGTAAGCCCGATTAAGCCCAACTTTTGTTTCAAGGCCGGATAAAAGCCTGGCCCAGAAAAGCCCATCGGGCCCTCTTTCAACCCCCAAGCCCGGCCCGCCCTCGAGAAACCTGGGGTTTTTTCTTACTATCTACTTATGTCCCTACTTAAAGTCGGGGTTTTTTCACTGAAACAGGTTCACTACCCTTTGGGGTAGAGGCAAGCTCTGCGTAATCCTACCTCTGTGGGGGACATAGGGGGTTAGTTTGGTGAGGTTTGGTTTATTAAAACACTTGAACTGCTTAAGTTTCAAGACCTCTGATGAAACCGGTCAAACCCCAGGTCGAACGCTACTTTGCTCGTCTCTGACCAATTGGACTCAACCAGTTCCATACAAAGTAGCAAATCTTCAATGCTACAGCGTTTAAGATCCGATTACGATGACGAAAACCCGCAAGTCCGACGACGACAAGTGAGGTTCCAGCTGCCGCCATCCGGTCCGGCAATGGATGCTGCAGTTCGAGATGAGCTTTTGCAGTTGATACAGGCTAAAGAAGCCGGAGTTGCATACATAATGGGACACTCGTACGTGAAGGCTAGGAGGTCGTCTTCTTACTTGAAGAAGCTCGTGATCGATATCGGGTACTCGTTTCTTCGAAAAAATTGCAGGGGCCCTGCGGTTGCTCTTCATATTCCTCATATAAGCTTGATTGAAGTTGGGATGATATATTATGTTTAGGATCTTGTTATAGGTTCAGCTTCATGTTCTTGGTTGGTGTTGAATGCATCTTCTTACTTATATTCTTTTGTATGCAATAATATGAAATTATTGTTTTGTACCCATTTACTTTGAATTTTTCAACAAAATATATATGGGAATAGTTTGTTTGAATTTTCAAATAAAATGTTCATTTCTTCGGGACTCGTATCGCAAGATTGTCGATACTTTTAACTGATACGAGACCGGTTGATGGGAGTTATGGTATTTTTCTAGTCAACCGGGTACAAGATTGGTTCGAGTAGTTGGGTTGGGCTTCGGTAAGAAAGAAAGTAATGGATCTCCACCGTTGGATGCACGTTAGGATGAAATGCACTGAGATGAGATGCATCGGGTCAATCCACATAACAAGCGTAATTCATGGGTGGATTTGAGATTGAAGGTGTTCAAGGGTCCAAATTTTTTCTTTGTTAGTGAACATTTTATATTCTACTAAACAGGAGGACAAATCCGTTTGAAATAAATTGAATAAAAGACGCACAAATACGAGATGAACAAGCCTCTTATTCTGTATTACGCATCAAACGCAGTTTAATAATTAGTATCTAGATATTTATTCAACTCATCTTATTATTCTTTAATAGAATAATACTTCTGCTTGTTTCGTTTTAATTTAAATTTAGCTTACTGTCAATGTAACCGGAAAGATATGTAGACATGAAAGGCAAAGGAAAAGAATGCTAACATATGCTTGTTATTGATTTCACTAGGCTTGATAGTACCACAGTTCTTTTTTTAGGGCATGTTTAACAATCATAAACTATCTTATTTTTTGACGAAAAATGTCCCTTTCTAATGGACATAAACTACCTTATTTTTTGAGTTTATGGAAAACACCGTTTGAATGGGTATAAGCTAGCGTTTTTAACATGTCCTTTTAGGTCATTTTATATTTTCCAATTACCTTTTATCAATTAGTATCAGCCAGCTACTCAACAAGTTTGCCAAACATATACTAAATGTGAAAAGAAGAAAGAAAAGAAAAAAAATAAAATAATTTGTAACTTGCTATCATCTTACGCTAGATTTCACTATAATCAATATAGGAAATAAGATAGACAAATTTCTAAACTGTATTTCATATCAAAGTACAGTATTTCATATAAGTAACTTATATAGGAGGTGTTTGGGATTGCTTATAAAAACAACTTATTGACTTATTCCGGTGTGACACCGGTAATAAGCACTTTTGAGTGTTTGGATAAACAACTTATACCAGTGCCGAACAGGTAATAAAGAGTTTTTGAAAAAGTTAAACCCTTCTGACTTATAATAAGTTGATAAATGCTTTTATAGAAAAACAAAAGTTGTTTCAAAGCAATCCCAAACACCCCCATAATACTCTTTCTTTAGAGCCACAATTTATACTCGACTTCTATAGAAATGTAATACATAGAAATTTCATATTAATTTAACTCCAACAACTCTTGAACGTGATTGTCTTTAGAGATAGCCAAAAACTGATCCAAAAACAATTTTTAATGTACAAAATACTATATATTTATGCACAAAGTCTTAAAAGTCTTAAAAACAACTCATAATGCATTAAATAGTACTACTTATGCATTCAGTTTTAAAATCGCTTAATCTACAATTAAAATAACATATAGTACAAGTTACCAATGCACATTATTACCTTTTCTTTTCATGTTCCCATAGACCTTATAATACCTTTCACTCATGCCTTCACCCTCTCATACCTCCTATGTCTTCTCTCCATCCCCCAAGGTGAGATTCAAACTGATATTCACCATGAGTTATTAAAAATTCTTCCATTCGTCTCCCATTCAATTGCTCTAGAACTCTCAGTCTCGCTCTCGATCTCTTGATTATTTGCTCTTGGTGTAAATCGAATACATTTGTGGAGTCGTTTAAATACGTTGTATTTTAAACTGTCATACAATTGTTTTAATCGATAGACTGTAATTGGAACCATAACTCTTATTTATTTAAATTGTATTAATATGTAAAGACCAAATGTAACTTATATCATCGTTAAATCTTCTCTAATAAAACCAGTAAAACTTCAAAATCGTTAAAATTCACGATTCCCGCCACATTTCACGAGTACACCGCTAGTAATTTATAAAAACCCGGTTCGGTCATCTCTAATTATGTTATAACAATGTAAGGCCCGTGACATCATGTTCCAAAAAGTGCAAAGTTGATTTGACAAATATTTTAATAAAATATATTCAACTTAGTAAAGTATAACAAAAAGAATTGCATTAAGACATTGAGTCTGTACCAATAAGACACCCTCTTTGTCTTTTACAAATCTTATTTTGTATTCCATCAATTAAGTCCCTCCGTCTGATTGATTTGGTTTAGATTAAAAAGGCTAAAAGAAATAGCACTTGATGGAAGTAAAGTCTAGATACAAATAGCAAATGCTAAGGGTATCGTGTCAAAAATACACCGAACCAAATCAGATGACAAACATCTTCCCAACCAGTTCGACTCGAAACCAACGTAGGATCAAGGTCGCAACCGATTGGGAGTGGTGGGGATCAGGACCGACCCAACGGTCCATAACCGGTTTTGGTTGTTATGAAAATTCAAGGCCTGACCATAGGCCTGATTTAAAAAAAAAACATATTTTATATCAAGTTTATTATAAGTTTTTCAAGTTCTTTTAAGTGTTTCAGTATTGAATTTCAAAAATCATAATGATAAGAACATGTACAATTTTTTTTTAAAAAATTAAAAAAAAATTAAAATGTATTTGAATGACGTAATTAGAGATTTTAAAGTGTATTTTCAATCAAATATTGTCCAAAAAAAGAAACCCATCAAACAAGATCTTTAATATGTTAAAAATTGTTTTTTCGAAAAAAAAAATTGGGACCGGTTCTAAGGACAGGTTATGGTTAAAGGAGATCAGGCTATGGGTTTTTAGTCGGGATTGATTTCGCTTACAAAAAGGAAATCAAGGACCAGGATCGATTTGGGCTCGACGTGGCCCGAGATCAGTTTTTGATCATCTCTATTACGAACCAGTATTAACTAAATTAGTAACCTACATGTTTGATCGGTAGTATCGTATCAAATCCAAGTTGTTGGTAAGACACTAAGTATATCTTTTTTAATGCCACGACTGTCGTACCAGTTAAGTTTTTTTTTTTTGAAAAAAAATATCATTTTAATTTTAATCTTATTTGTACAACTATTTCAACCCAATCTTAATAGTTCATTTAATCTAGTGAATATGTGGTTCCATAAATATCTTGATTGTTTCTTAATATGAAACGTCGATCGTAATTAATGAACTCTAATCATCTTATATAAATATTCAAATCATAATAAATGAACCCTTATCATTTCCATAAATTATCTCAATTGATTGAGTTGCATTGGTTATAGAAATGAGATAGGTCGCATTTGAAACGTCCTCTCTCTATATAATTACAAGTTACTGATTACCATTTTCCTAGCCTCGTTACTATACATACTCGATGATCCCAACTCATATCGTCAATTTCCCACACACATTACCCTCGTAATTCATATTCTAATTTGATCATCTCATTGCTCTCACTCATCCTACGTACTTTTAGTTTCCTATGGCTGTTACTTTGATAGCCACTCCGACCTCTACTGTCAGTTGTCTTTAGAGATGCTTTTGTTGGCTCTGTATTTTGTTATCTGTGGTCTTTGATCAAATATGAATAAGCAATGAAACCCTAATTGTTGATCAAAATTTCCATTTATGTGTTCCGGGTATTTCTATTTTAGATCCACGATCAATTTTTCATGTTTTGTGCTATGTGATTCGATGATTTATGTCTCTGTGTTCTATGGTTTTAACATAGTATTTTATGTTATATGTTCTATGATGTGCCATTGTTATTAAGTAAGAACAACAGAACAAGTAGTCAACCCTAACCTTGAATCTGATTTATGTGTTGATGATATTGGCGAAGATCGTGCAAAAAGGGGTTTGAACAGTTGATCACCTTTAATCTCAAACCCACCCATAAATCATGTTTGATTTGCGGATTAATCCGGTACATCTCATCCTAACGTACATCCAAAGATGAAGATATCTTTTTACACTTCTCACCTTAACTCTCCTTCTTACCGGGACTCAACCTTCATGATTTTTTTAATAAGAAATTTATAAGATAAGCAATTTTAATTATTTTAAACAAGACTTTAGAGAATATGGTTAAAAAAACAAATTACTTTTTTGTATTCTAATAAGATTGTGACACGTGTCCAACCAAGGTTTAGGAAAATTATAAGATGGACCCACTTTGAAACTTTTTCAAAAAATAGAAATATATTTATCCAAAAAGAATATTTTCAGAGTGTTTTTGTTTCTATCTTCACCCAACCACATGTACACATTCAATATGTTTATAAATTCTAATACAAATTTATTTGATTTCATAATTTTATGAAATCTATAAATGCTGCTTTTGATTTTTAAAGCAATTAAAGGTAACCATGATATGCTGTTATGAATTGCGTTTGATACGAGAATTGATCTGATACATCTTAAATGGTGTTGATCTTTAGTTAATATTGATCCAATGGTGGATATCTCTTCTTACCATTCTCATCATAACTTCTATTCTGACCTGAATTCAATCCTACATTATTATAGTTGTATCAGAAAACATGACATCTTGATACAGTTATTATAAGCATGCTAAGAACAATAATTTCAAAGTTTTTAGATTGAATTTCCTACATTTATGTTATTTTAAGAGGGAATGTCAATCATGACAGCTCGGTACAATTTCAGGAAAAACACGAGAAAAGATAGAAGAACGACAAATGAACCAAAAACAAAAGGTTTTGTTTTACGTCAACTTCTGTTGTTCTTATTTGTTGGAAAAATAAATAAATGCAAATTGTAATAATAAATTGCATGTTGAAGAACAACAGTACTATGCTATCAGAAAATTTTGAAACATAGAGTCGAGAACCAAACAAACTAACGAAAGACCGTCCATAACCTTGTCGGAGTCTTGTCCTAGAATTAGGGATGTCAATTTCGTACCAACTAACATGCATACCACATGTAATGATTAAACTGGTATCAACAACATGCATACCCCATCTAACAATTATAACTGGTACCAACTTAAGTTGGTTGGTAGTACTGTATCAACTA